CATCCTAGGCATCATTTACCAGCCACTGGTAAATTTTGCCTCCTTCTCTACCTTGCATAGTTTCTTCCTGGGGTCTCTATCCATAGCACTCTAAGAAGGATTGTTGCCCATCTCCATTAGCTGTCACTGTCATTAAATGTGCTGTTTAGAGCAGGACAAATCACTTAAGATGTGTAGAGAACATATTATGAGCCTCTGCTATATTCAGGGACTTGGATATACCATGGCTGTGGAATTTGCTATACAATTTATCCCCTACCACAGAACTGTGCTTCAGAATCTGAGCTTTCATTCAGCATTTTTGCTGTGGAATTTGCCATTTTCTTCAGCCAAGTACCTGACATTTTGTTTTGTCTCCCTACCGGGACCTGCCTGCAGCTGCCTCTTGATTTTCAGCTTTTCCCAGCAGGGGGAGTTAATTAGATGCTCCTGGCTCTGTTCCAAGGAGGCAGGTCATAGGAATCTTCGTAGCGGAAGCTGGACTACAGCTTTCTGTCTGGGAGTGTGGGGAGCCAGAAGCATAGGTTGGTGAGTTGCTTGGAAAACAGCTGAGTCCTGGAGAGCCAGGGAGATGAACTACTCCAGCACCTACAAACTTCATCCTTACCAGCCACACATGGGTGGAAGGATCTTCTGAGCTGGGATGTCCAGACAATATTCTGGGAGCTGAGGCACAGGGCTCACAGGTAGGACAGCAGGAGAGCATCATGAGAAACCCAACCCCTAAAAAAATAATCAATATCAAAAATAACCATTGATCTATTTGTTGTGTGGCGGTAGAAAGGATGGGAATTAAGGGTATCACAGAATTGTAGTATAAAGTAATTTTGCCACAGAATTTGCTGACATGGAACTTGGTCCCATTGTACCATGGGGTATATGGGGCCCTGCCTCTAATCACAGGAAAACTATGATGTGACCCAGCTTGATGCCAACTGGCAGAGGACATAAGGGTTACAGGAATCTCCTGGGTCTAACGTTTACATTCTAGTTAACTGAAGAGGGCCATGTGAGGTCTCTAAGGAAAGCCTGCATCACACTGGTCATCATGATCATTGCCAGATTTATGTACAGACAATGTGACAAGTTATGTGTGTATATATACTAAAAACTATGTTCTCTAGGTCTGTGAGTGAAGACAGGTCACCAAATGGTAATCTACATACTCCTGGCAGGCAGCAGGGAAGAGACGCTTATCTCACTCTGACTGGTTATCAGGAGCGCTGCCAGCTTTTCTGCCACCCTAGGCGGCGGAAGGTCCCGGCCCGAAATGCCACCCCCCACAGAGGCGGTGGAAGGTCCCGCCACCGAAATACTGCTGCAGCCGCCGCCGCCCCCCAAATTGTAGTGCCATAAGCGACCGCCTAGGTTGCCTAATGGGTTGTGCCGGTCCTCCTGGTCATGTCCAAATTAAGTATTGTAGGGCTCACAATGGGCATCCACTCACAAGTCTGAGCTGAATGCTAATGAGGGATTGTGAAATCTTCAAAAAAGAAATTAATAGGAAGCGGCAAACAACAGGAGTTGTCCTGTTTAGGGGTAAATACAATGAAATTTTGAATCTAAGTCTACGGTACAGATGAACCCCAGTTATTCCTTCCATTTGTGAGGACAAGCTGTCACCTGGCTTGGATATTATCAGAAGGGGTCTCAACCAAACTGGGTGACAATGCTGGGGAAAAGACTTGGGTAGGCTGCCTAGTTTGTAGGAGACAAGGGAACAGGACCGTCTTTAGGCATACTCAGCATACGCGGCTGTGTAGGGCACCCAAAAATTTGGGGCACCACCGGGTCCATAGATGCAGACTTCTCATCTTGCTTGGGCGGGGGGTGCTCGACCCCTCCCCCCACTCCACTCCAGGCCCTGCCCCCACTCCACCCCTTCCCCCTGCCCTGCCTCTTCCCCTCCTCCTCTCCCCAGTGTGCCCTATCCCTGCTCCTCCCCCTCTCTCCCGGTTGAACACCGCAAATCAGCTGTCCCTGGCACTCCAGAAGAGCTGGGAGGGAGGGGGAGGAGTTGGTAAGCATGGGGCTACTGGGACCTGAGACGAGCGGGGGAGGGGAGCAGAGGGGGGAGTTTGGCACCAGTGGGCGCCCACTAAACTTTCCCCGTGGGTGCTCCAACCCCAAAGCACCCATCCGCAGAGTCCGAGCCTGTGATCGGGACAGCACGTAAGAGCAGGTCGGCTTCTGCACCCTCCTTACTTGTGTGTGTGTGTGTGTGTGTGTGTTAGGGAGATAAGTTAAACACCTCTGTAGAACACTGTGGAATACTGTAAGCTTATGTTTGTGTTGCTAAGAGCAAGTTGGGCATAGGGGCACCAGTTTAATAATACTGCGTAGGGCCCCATAAATCCTACGGACGGCCCTGCAAGGGAATGCTTTGTTAGTGAAGCATAGTCACTAGAAAACATGTTATGATTTTGTTGTCTGTGTAACCATTTGTTCCTATTTCTCACACTGGTTATTATTTGAATCTCTGTTCTTTCTTACATAAATTTCCTTTCGTTTTATAAATGAGCTCAAGTGCTGTGCATGGCACAGGAGTGATGAACAAATGTAAAACTGGTAAATTGTGCCACACTGTTCCTTTGGGAACAGAGGAGCTGGGATTTCTGTGGGTATCCAGCGATCAGGGGCTGCTCACCACAGGGGGACACTTTGCAGGGACTCGGTATTACGGTGCATATGTTGTCAACCTGCAAGGCAAAGACAGGACTGGCGTAGCCCAGAGGAGAGTGCTTGAGTGGCTGACAGGCTGGTAGCATACGGGCTAACACCCAGCTGGCACTGGCAAGACTCCCTTGCGCGGGAGGCAGGTGGTAACAAGGTGACTCTCAGTCCTGGGTGCCCTGAGAAGCATTTAATGCAGTGATTCAGTATTGCCTTAGCAGGCCAACCAGCCTGTCTTGATTGGGGGGCACAACCAAAAATATGTGTGTGGGGGGCACGTGCCCCTATGTTCCCTTCCCCATGTGTTGCCTCGGACCCCATTGTTCTGCCCCCACAGCTTTGCGCCTTGCATGGCTGTCCAACTGGGTGTCACCCAACTGGGTCCCCATCGGGCCCCAAGCAGGGGTTAGCTAGGTTGGTCTCCTGCATTGGTAGTGGCTGGGTTCAGCTAAGTGTTACAAACTGTGGCCATATAACTACAATCACAATAGTCATCAGTGAGAAATGAACCTGGGGGGATCTTCAGCACCAGAAGCACAAGCATCTACTACTTTAGAAAAAATTTAGTGCCGTTAGCTGTGAGTAAGTAGTGGATGGCTACAGTCTCTGACACTAGGCAATGGAGGTAGATATGATTGCACAGAAACCATATAAATATCTGCACATTTAGGTTGTTCTCTACTTCACTGGAGTGTTACACCCATCTCAGAATAAATTGTGGGGCTTTGAAATGGTTGAAGCTATATACTCCAAGTCTTTTAGCACATGCTCCATCCTTTGCCTCACTGATCAAAGGAAACTGAAATAATACTTTCTCCCGCTCTAGCTCTTTCCTCCAAAGATTTCAGAGCACTTTACAAACATTACTTAATTAAGCCTCCCAACATCCCAGTAATAAATAAAGGGAACAATTCAACCGCAAAATTCCTAAAGGCATTTTTGCATATGGATATAAGGAATTCAGGAAAGAAGTGGTTAATGGGTCTGATCTAGGACTCAGCAAAAGGATTTAAGATGACATTGTGAAGATGCGCTGTCAAATAGCCTGCATGGAACAGAGGGCATCTGGAATTTAATGGGTTGATCTGCTAGTACAGTGTCACCATCACTCTATGTCTGACAGAAGGTCACTGTATTGCAGCATCTCAACTAACAGCATTAATGGGATTCCTTCCTTTTTTGCTCCTCCTGGCAAGCAAATAATCACTTGTGTATCATAATGTGATGACGTGGCATCCACACATCACAGTATAATGTCACATTGGCCTGACACACCGTTATAGTGTCAAGATTCACATAAGCACTTTGTAATGCTGTGCTTGTGAGGCGAAGTCCATACAACACAAGACCTGAAATGAACTGAGGGCTATTGAGGGACTGGATGGCCCAGGAGCGTGGGACTGGGATAGAGAGTATTTACTTTTTAGGTCACCAGTCCCAAACCAGACTAAGGCAGGAGTGACTGAAAATCATAACTATCGGATAGTCTATGCATGACAGGAGTTGGAGGGTCTCAGTTCAGTTCCTTGTGGAGAAGTGTCCACATCATACAAACTCCTCCACGAGTCGCCCCTTGTAGGCAGTCTTAGCCCAGAGGCCCAGGACTGATTGGGCCCCAGGGACTTGGCATGCTGGAAGAGGCAGTCAGCCCCCTAGAACGGGCCGAGGGTCCAGTGGCAGTGTGGAGGGAGGACAGTTCGCATTACTGCTGTCCCTGTCCCGTGGATGAGCTGGGATTTTCACGCAGGCAGGGCCGGCTCTAGCGTTTTTGTTGCCCCAAGCAGAAAAAAAAAAAAAAGCTGTGATCGCAAGCGGCGGCAGCTCTACCGCCGCTTCAGTCTACGGCCGCAAGTCCTTCACTCCGAGAGGGAGTGACGGCCCCGCTGCCGAATGGCCGGACGTGACGCCCATCTCTTCATTGCCCGCCGCAGGCACCTGCTTGCTAGTCTGGTGCCTGGAGCCGGCCCTGCATGCAGGGCTGTCACCCTGGCGTCTTCACCTGCTGAAATTCACCCTAAGACACTGAGACAGGAAACAGAAAAAACTTGGCTCTGCAGAGTTGTCCTGGGCCAGGCTGGCCATGCAGGAGCTGGACCAGATCTGGGAGCGTGCCCTGGGCTGCTGCCTTCGGGATAGGCAGGACCTCCTGTCTCCTGCTGTTCCTGTGGGGAGTCTGGCTAGAGCCCCTTCGCACTGGGTGCGGGCACTGACTGAACAATCTCCTTCACAGCCAGCGAGTGGGACCGAGGAGCAAGTCACACCCGGGTCTTCCCCTCCTCTGCTTCTTTCTTACTCCCCTCCCCCCGCTAACTCGTACCCGTCCGTCCTTCAGCACCGACCATCGCCTGAGCCCTTCGCTTTCTCCCGTAGTTTGGGCCAGACGCCCCGCCGTAGGGCGGTTGCTATAGGGACTGGCAGCGCGGCCTGGCGCAGAGGCGGGCTGTGCCCGGCGCGGCCTGGGAGTTGCTCTGTGGCTGTTCGCAAGGGCCGGAGACGGCGGTGGCGCCGGCGCCGCGGAGTCACCATGTCGTTCCGGGATCTCAGGAGTGAGGAAATCTCGCTCGGGCCCCAGGGGGGGAGGGAGGGAGCCGCGACCGGGCGGGGGGCCATTGCTCCTGGTGCCCAGGCGCGGGGGGTGGCCCGCGCGTCGTTATTCTGCGGTGTCAGCACAGCACACGCTGCCCCACTCGTGCCATCGCCACCCACGTCATCTCCTCACCATCGCCACACACCCGTCCCATCCCCACCCACGTTATCTCCTCACCATCGCCACACACCCGTCCCATCCCCACCCAGGCCATCTCCTTACCATCGCCACACACCCGTCCCATCCCCACCCAGGCCATCTCCTTGCCACCCCCACCCACGCCATCGCCATTCCTATCACCACACACCCGACCCATCGCCACCCACGCCATCTCCTCGCCCTCCCCACCCATGCCATCTCTTCACCATAGCCACACACCTGCCCTGTCAGCCCATCACATCACTACACCATCCTCATACGCCTGCCCCATCATCATGTTATCACCATCCACGCACCCCATTGCCACGCCATCACTGCACACCCACACCATTACCTCACCATTGCCATTCATGACTGCCCACCAGCCATCATTACACCAACACCACACACCCGCATTGTCCCATGCCATCATTATACAGCTGTGCCATCACCATACATCTGCACCGCTCCACACTGTTGTTATGTCCTTACTACACACCCATGCTATCACCACGCACTTGTGCCATCACCACATCATTGTTATGCCATTGCCACACACCCAAACTATCGCCACTGCATCATCCCGCCATTGCTGTACACCTGTGCCATCACCATGTCATCGTACTGCACCACCCCACACTGTCACCACACACCCACCCCATTGCCACACACACTCACATTATCACATAGCATTATCATTCCTCATCATAGCTTCCTGACATCACATTGCTCCATTATACTGTATCTTGCTGTCATCAGGCTAAAGCTCATCCCCACCTGATGCAGCATTCTCTTCCTGTCTATTCTTGTTATGCTGTATCTTGTGACATGACATACCATTGTGTGGCATTGTTGTGCTCTCTCATGCTGTGATTGCACAACAGCTTGCTGTCACCATATAGTAGCAACACAGTACATTTTGGCATCTGAGCACCACGCCCACTGAATTGCAGCATTGTTTCATAGTGTCATTCCTTTGTATTGCACTGTTACGGGGCATATTCAGATGGCATTGTGCTATCGTGCTATATCATAGGTTTATCACACACAGTTTTGTTTCATATCCTAAATCTGTCACATTGTGACATCATCATGTGTCTCGCAGCATGAAAATCTCACCATGCTGCATCATAGTGACATCACGTAGCATCCTCACACTGTTTGCACTACTGCAACAAATTCTCATCTGTCAAAAAGTCACCACACCATAATTCCGCATCTGGCTGTGATGATATATTGTGGAGTCTATGTAGGCTCCAAATATGCAGGATATGTCACCCTGTGAAAATCGGATTGAACCTACAAAATATGGGACAGACAGTGAGTTCAAGCTGTTGTAGACACCCAGGTTGCAAAGGGTCTCTACTTATTTCCAGTATTTCTGGTTTTATACTGATTTTCTCGGGACAATGATCCCAGGACTTGTGAGGGCTGCTTTGAAGATACCTGTGGGTCTCACTGTCAGTTTTGGTCCCATATTTCGATGCACCATCGTGTTGCTGTAGGTTTACATTATGATACTGCTGGTACATGACCTTTTGTAGTGGCTGCTGTAATGTGCAGGAGTCTGGAGGAAACTTCTCCCTCTTTCCCTTATTGGGCATTGAACAACTGGTCAGGTGCATTGTATTTGGTTTTTTAAGCTTTTCTCTGAAACATCAGGTAATGCCCTCTATCGAAGGAAGGTATCAGCGTAGGTGGGCAAGTAGTTTCTTGTGTTACTGCAGTTCCTTCAGGTAAAGACTATTGTATGTCTTTCTTTAGAGATGCTCAATGCCATTTCTTCGGGCTACTGGGAGGGTTTGCTGCAGGATGATGAAAGGCTTCCTTCCTGTGGTTGAGTGCTCCATCCAAAGGAGCTGGGAGAGCATTGTTGTTATACATGACAATGGGGATGTTTGAAATCCTTATTTGATTTTATTTTAACATTTCAGTTATTAGAAACATTTCTCATTTGAAAAGTCATCTTTTTTTTGCCTGTTAAAGATAATTTCCTGGTAAATTGGTATTAACTTTTTTCCTTGATCACTTCATGTATTCTATGTAGATTCAGTCTAGCACAGTGTGTATATTAGTAAACATAAACAGTGCGTTGTGGGACTTGAGCATCTTTGCTGACTATAGCGAAAAGAAAGAATTGTTTTTGTTGTTTGTCTTTCAGATTTTACTGAGATGATGAGGGCTCTGGGATATCCCCGACTCATCTCTATGGAGAATTTCCGCACTCCAAACTTCATGCTGGTTTCAGAGATGCTTCTTTGGCTATGCAAAAGGTTGGTGCTTTATTTCAGTGCAAGAAAAAATGTCAAGTCAGTTACTAGACCTGAAGTTGGAGAGCCATTTGGAGCTGATGTTTTGGAGTGGAGTTGTACTGAGTGGCTTAAAGAGGAACTTGGTGAAATTGAAGTTTAGTCATTTTGAGAGCTCTATTGTTCTGAGTGCCAGATAGGAACATATGGTAATTAAGTTGGTATTTTAAATGTCAAGCTTGTGGCTTCAGTGGTCTCTATGTGTCATGGATATAATAAACTGATATTTCCAGAGGAAAATAATGTAGATAAAGGGTAAACTAAAGGAATGGTACAAAAAATAAAGAGTGTATTCTCCTTGAGTCCCCTTCCCCATTCACCAGTGTGAATTTCCATATTCCTTAGATTCTGTAGCAAACATGGAGCATGAGGCTTGCATTGCAGGAGCTAAAGTCAGGCAGTGGAGGACTAACTGAGATTACCTTCAAACATAGTCTTCTCTAGAAGTATTCTTTGTAGAGTGAAGTGGGATCTTCTCCATCTCTCCCTTGGACTGAGTTCAGCCCCACTGGTTCTTTTAAAAACTATTCCTGCAACTAAGGCTTTGCCCAAACTTTACAGAACAGGCTCATACTTAAAAAAAAAAGTCACAAATAATGTTCTATGTGTAAGAGGAGATCAGTGTTTGAAACGTGCAGTAATGGTTTTTCCTTAATTAATTCTGTTTCCTCTGACTTATTACATTGCCCACAATGAAAGGCAATGGAGAAGGAACCCATCAGGGAGCATGGGCCTGGTCTAGTACCATTTTAGTATAGCTTTACGTTGGTGTAATGCACCAACGTTGGCTTCAAACACTTGTGAAACTGCAATGGTGGCTCAAGCTATGCGTGTGTGTGTGTATTTATAATACATTAATTAGATCATCAATATCAAAAAGTATTAAAATGTTCCCTGTATGTATGAAAAGAGAACATTTCTTACTTTTTCAATTAATGATACCTTACAATATCTCAATGGGCAGAAATTTAACAATGACCATTGTTGCTGCTTGCTTACTTTTTGCATTTCACTTGGTTTATGGTTAGTTTCAAGTAATTATAGCTTTCTGGCTATTGTGCACTAGCTCAATGCTGCAATTTTTGGGCTGCAAGTATTGTAGGACTGTTTAAAATTAATAAAAAAGTTTTGATTAAAACATTTATGTTCATATCTGAGCTTGTGAAGCGTTAACAATGCTTCCCCTTCCCCCTAAGTTTGGTTTTTAAATTACTTGCCTTTTTCCCTTCAAATTTAAAAACAAAAGTAATGAATTGTCTCTCCATCTCTCCAAGAGATGGAGAACAGAGCAGTGAAAAAGACATTTCATTACACAAAAAGGTATTGCTTTTCAAAAAAGGTGTAAGAGTATTCATCCAATTAAGCTGAACAGTATAAAGTGCTTTCACATGTATATTATAAGGTGATTGGAAGTACTCTGCTTTTAAGTGAAGTGCCGCATTTACATCCTAAGCAGCTAGGAAACTAACCAAATTGTACCAGTTACCCAATAAACCAGCTTTCCCTGGTTCCAGGAGTCTTATAACTGTATTGTAAGATAGAGAGGTTAATTTAGACTTCACTTGTTTTGAATTTCAAATGAGATTTTAAAGTGGAGGTTCTGTCTGGATATTAATGATCCCATGGCACTTTCCATAAAAGTTAGGAAGTAGGGGATTTCCCTAGTTTCCTCTTCCCAAGTGTACTGGTATATAGTGTACTGTGGACCAGTTGGTTGGTAACCTCCACTCCAGAGGTGGCTGTGTTCTAGTGGTGCTGTTTGTAAAGATGCTATAAAATGTAAAATATTAATATATTATTAGTGAAGCAAAAATGTTTATTTTAGGGACAATATTAACTATAAATCAGGGCCCTGTGTTTTTCTCTGTTTTGTGGCTAGAGACTTTGCTGCAGAACCCACTGATTGCTGTAAATATGCTCTAAAATCTAAACTTTCATGGAAAACATTATCTAGTCTTGCAAAGATAACTCTTCAGTTTGGTTTATGTTTGGAAGTAATCTTCCTTAGTCTGCTTAAAATGATAGCTGTGAGACATCTCAACTGTCCTTGTTCATTTCAAAGGGGGTGTTTACTTTCATGGTGATATTTTAAATGGAAATGTTGTTTTATTAACCATTTTACTGCTAATCATTTTAGCAGATCTCTGGAAGATTAGGGATGTTCAGTTAATCAAAGGCTTTTTTTTTTAAGTCATAGATCTGATTAAGATGAGTTTGGTTTATCTGTGTGACTTGTGTGGGGAAATAGAGCAGGGGGGCCTTCTTTTTAATAGCCAGAGCTCTGAATCTGAAGGCCCCAAAATAAACCCTCCAACAGAGATCTGTTATGCTAACTACCCTTACACAAAGCAGTACAGGCCAGGGCCTGAACTAGACTAGACTGCACAATTCCCTGCCAAACTCAGTCAAGGGTCATGACCAGAGGAGGGGAGGGGGGCAAGGAGGCAAAGAATAAAAAAGCCCCAGCAGCAGCACTAATGAAATATGTTCATGACTAATGAAATATAATAACCACTTGTGTGAAGCAATAGGTAACTTTAGCTAAATGCAATTTCTTGACTCATGCAGCTTCTCCTTTGGGTGATATGTGACCCATTCCGTGATTCCAGCTATCTGCAAAAATAGCCAATCAAAGATCCTCTTTAGGTGTCCCATGGAACCTCCCCCCCCCCCAATCTTTAACCAAAAGACCCTGGAAAATAACATGTGTCTTGAGAAATGTACCCAAACTGGTGCCAAGTACCACCCCTGGGGAAAACCACCAAGTGCCCCTCTACCCAAATAAACATCCAATTCTCGGAAAAATGAGGAAGGTACCTAGGGGGGTGGGGGTGGGGGGGAAACTGACCCCGACCCTAGTTTCTTAACTTGCGGTTTAGAGGAGGAACTGACCCCAACCCTAATTTCTTAACTCATGACGCATTGTTTGTACTTCGTTTGCGGTTTGACGAAATAAAAGCCCGCCTGCGAGCGGCCCTCGGGGTGTCAGTCTTCGGACTGCACCCCAGTGCACTGGTATGTATGTCAATAAACTGGCCTCAGGCTTGAGTCTTTGAACTAAAATCATTGCGTGGGTGTCTTTGACCACAACACTTGCAATTTGAAAAACTGACATAGTACAGTAAATAATCTCTCATCAGAAATATTCCATTGATTTATAGCCTGAATCCAAGCTTTTAAATTGATTTGGGTGAGTCATCTAGGTTTGGCTGTTCTTACAAACTGAGCCAAAAGACAGCTTCAAAACCTGAATTTAACAACTTCTTTTGCAAAGATGGCTCAAGCTTTATGGCTTGTGCAATTTTTATGACATTCTAATTTATACATTCCAGATCCTAGACACTTAACTACTGTTTCTCCACCTGCATCAGGGGCTGAAAATTTGGTTTGCAGGATCTTTCTGATGCCTGAATTTGCCACATAATTGTATTGGCTTTTACCTGTTTAATACTTCATGCATGTTGCTTTTCTGACTCAATTAATGTTCCCATCTGTAGATATGAACCTCAGACCGATGTTCCTTCTGATGTTGAGACAGAGCAGGACCGGGTTTTCTTCATTAAGGCAGTAGCTCAGTTTATGGTGAGTCTGCTTAAGCAAACTCATTTGGGGTTTGATCCAAAGCACACTGAAGTCAAAAGGAATTTTTCTTTTGACTTCAGTGGGCTTTGGATCAGGCCTCTAATGCTTTTTCTTTTGACCCTCTCTGATTTTCCCCTGTAATATGTGGCTAAGTACGTATTATATTCCTGTACTTTCTGTTAAATTTCAAAACAGTTCCTATCATTTCTGTAATGTCTTGAAATGGCCAGATACAACCTATCATAGAGCAAGACATCCTGGGTAGAGCTAAACTTGATATTCTGTGTAGAATCAAAAAACAATGAGAGCCAGAGAGAGAGAGATTTACTTGCAGTTGATATTTGAATAAATCTCAATTCAAGCAAAGGCCCTGATCCTGCAAAAACTTAAACACAGGTTTAACTTTTACATGATGTTAGTAGCCCCATTGCAGTTACTGGATGAAACTCAATGGAGGTGTTGCTATTAACGTGAATGAGGCCAGCCAGTGACTTGGATGAGACTGCTCACATCACGTAAAGTTAAGCATATGAGTAAGTCTTGGTAGGATTGGAGTTTTAACAACTACTTAGCTTTAAGCCCATAAAGCAATATTCATGTGCAACCTCCTATCCATTTTTCACACTTCAAAAAGCTAACATGCAAAAATCAAGTTTTCTTAACAAAAATGACAAAGTGGATTTTTGGATGCGCTCAGTAACAAATATGACCATCTCTCTCCTACTTTTTATCAGATCAAATGCTTTGTGATTACTGCTTATTGGATACATATTGAAGGATATTAGACACTAAATAAGGGTTGTCTCTTAAAATATAAGATGCGCAGCCACTCTGTATAAGGACTGTACTGGAGTAACTGGACCAAATGATTTTTTGAACACAGGGTTCTCCCCTGAAGTGTCATGGAATTCCAGAGGACCTGGCTGTCAAGCAATGTGCCGTGACCTTTTATTTGTCAGTAGATTAGGAGGTTTTTCAATGGTACTTATCACCATAGTGTCTGAGTGTCTCACAAACATTTTGGGTGGTTCTGCAGGTAACCTTTATGCTACAACACAATCTCTCTTCCCTGCTTTGCTTCAGCAGAGTTCCCCTCTTTCCTTGTTGGGATCACACATCTTGCATTCAATTATGTTGTTGAAAGTGGATTATAATGATCATAAGCAGTGAGCAGTACCACCAGCAGTACAGTATAAAGACAGTAGCAATAGTATGTTGTATTTGGACTGGAAAAAACCCAACAGAGGCAGGCCAGGTAAAAAGTTGCCATCTGAATTGCTCCCTTTTCCTCACTTTCTACACCCCCTATGGATGCATGACATTACTTCTCATTTTATTTTCCTTCCTGCTTGACTTGTTCAGACATGAAATAGGGTGCTATTTTAGTTATAGTGTATTTTTTTCATAGCTGCTTAGCCTTGTTTTTTTTTTTATTTTTTATTCCTTACAAGACACTCGGGAAGGAAGGCGTCCGCTGTAAATCATAATTAGGCTTGGAAGAATTAGATTTTTATTTTATAATTTCAGTGGATAATTGATGTTTGTAAGCATTTTTTCTGATTTTTATTTATTTAAATTTTCACAGTTGTGGAAAATTATGAAGGGGTCTGGCAGTAAGGGGGAAAGACAATAGTTAGTCAATGAAAGTAGATGTTGAGATTCAAAAAGGTAAAGCTTCATAACCATTAAGCCACAAACTGTCAACATCACATGTCAAAATACAAGATAAATATCCTTAAATCAAACACTCATAAGTTTTCAAGCAGCATTTTTCTTACTTTGCCTATCTGTACACTTTTATCGGGGGATGGGGTGTGCGCGCATGTGTGTATGTGTACACTGAAGAGAAGCTCTGTGCAAGCCTGAAAGCTTGTCTCTTTCACCAGTAGAAAATATTACCTCACCCACCTTGTCTCTACAGAGAATCGACATTTGCTGATAAATATCTAAGCCTAATCATAATAAGGAACCTAGCAAAGAGACTATGAAAGAATTCTGGGGTAGATGCTTGGTCTTGCATCCCTTTTGAACAGGAATGGACACTCATGCTTTGTTGTGGTAGGAGCATCAGGGCACCAGTAAGTAGAGTTGCTGACTGAAAAACATACATGGGGAAGTTGAGGGCATTATGAAAAGGTACCAGTGAAGGTATCAGTGAGATGTTGAGGGGCCCCTTCTGTAGTCAGTTAATATTCGTGTTTAGTTACCCTCTCCTCCCATCTGCTCTTCTCTGCCAGTATATTAAAGTTGTGCTGTGGAATCTACTATCTGTTTTAGTTTGGAGAACAGGATCGTTCACAAAGCTCTGTGCAGTGGACTCACTGAGAAGGTCAAAGTAGTTTTTTTTATTGTCTGAAGATTGTGCAGAAGTGGTGTGAAGCCTTTACCCCTCCTGCCTGCCAGGCTACACTTCCTATGCTGGGCCTTCTGTGATTCAGCCCAGAATTGGACAGTATTAGGTCAGCTAGTCCATTTCCTCACACTCAGGAGCAAAATTCCACAAAGTGCAGCTCACACCACAAACTACACCGCAGTTTCAGTCTGGAGCACTGAACCATGATTATATCACGCAGCAATGAAGAAGTAGGAATTTCAGCAAAGTGAATCTTGACCAGCTGTTCCAGTGCAACATTGAACTAAGTAAGTGAGCTAAGCCTGAATGTTTAGAGCTTGGCCTTTCACTCAGTGGGGCTTGGTAAAAATGTGTTTCTGGGCTAAGGAGCGTGAACCACATGTTGGTCACCAATGGCTGCTAGTGTCTGTAGATATGGTGTTGGATGTCCTTAGCAGGGAATTGTACTGTGCTGGAGGTAAACATATTGAGAGAGTTGGAAGGAGTGTTATACAGGAAAATGAGTTGTACTTCACAAAGATGCTCAGATTCTTATGCCTGGATGGTGAGTTTTTGACTTGAGAAGGTCTCCAGACTGATCTTTCTTTATGGATAGCTGTCAGATGAACACTTTTCTGGGGCTCTAATTTTGAAGCTTTTTGAAATATGAAGTGACCATAAAGCCAGATTTTGCCCTTAGATTACATATGGACAAGGCTGTGTTTTAGTCATGGGTATTTTTAGTAAAAGTCATGGACAGGTCACGGACAGTAAACAAAAATTCACGGCCCGTGACCTGTCCATGACTTGTACTATATACCCCTGACTAAATCTTGGGGGTAGAGGTGGGGGGAGCAGTAGTCCTGGGAGTGCTGCGGGTGTTTGGGGGGGGGGGACGGCCCGGGGGCGCCGTGGGTGCTCTGTGGGGGGCAGCCCGGGACTCCCGCTGGTGATGTGGGGGGGCTGGAGGCAGTGGCGTGTGGCCCAGGACTGATGCTGGTGCTGGGAGGGGGGTTGGCGTGGCTGGCAGGCTCCTTACCTGGCTCCTTACCTAGCTCCTTGCGGTTCCCTGGAAGCGGTGACATGTCCCTCCCCCAGCTCCTAGGCAAAGGTGCAGCCATATAACTCCGCGTGTTTCCTCCGCCCCAAGTGCCGGCTCCGTAGCTCCCATTGGCTGGGAACCGTGGAGCTAGTGCTCAGGGCAGAGGCAGTGTGCGGAGCCATTTGGAGCTAAGGGAAGGACATGTCACCGCTTACAGGGAGCTCCCTGAGGTAAGCGCTGCCCAGAACCCCACCCCCTCCCGTGCCCCAATACCCAGCCCTGAGCCCCCTCCCAAACCCAAACTCCTGTTGATGCTCTGGGAGGGGGGCATGGTGGCCCAAGAGTGCCCCAGCAGCGGCTAGTGCAGCTGGCCTGGCTGCTGCAGAAGTCAGAGGGGTCCTGGAATGTCATGGAATCCGTGACTTACGTGACCTCTGTGACAAACTCACAGCCTTACATATGGATAATTAGTTCTCAGTTCTTAATTCTACTGAGTGCAGAATGTGTAACCTTTCCATATCTTACAGTTCTAAGCCCTGGAGCATCATTAGAGGTGAACAACAATCATAGATCCAGCAGTTTTAAGTTCCTTTTCTGAGCCTAGTACAATTTGGAAAGAGAAGGGTGAAATCAGAAATCATTTTAATAATATGCTTTTCAGACCATTCTTCATATCAGTGTATCCCTAAAGGCTTTACACAATAATAATACAGACTTTACAGGGGATGAAATAAGAGTGGCTAAATAACCCCATGGCTAAAAGTCTGCAATTCATTTTACAGGGTAATAAAGGAATTATTGCGGTTCTTCAATAAACAGACTCTCTGCTCAGGTGTTTCCTCTACTTCTTAGAATGGGAAAGACTTGAAGATGTTTCTTCAGTAATTCCTGTTGTGCATGGGACACACAATTATCTTCGCCAATAGCTAATAACCTCTAGCATCTATAATAAGATGGAAGATTTATATGGAGACAAATGTACCTAACCCCATTAAAGAATATCAGAAATCATTAATCATCATAAAAATGTAACCAGAGCAAATCCTTTCCAGACTAAGCAGAATAACTGTATGATTTCTCTATTGTGGTGTTTGATTACGTTCTACTTTATTTAAGTTCTGTTAGTGGTTCTGTTCTATACCCCTACCCTCCTAACTTGTTAATTCAGCCTTTCCATCTGAGCTAATGATTTTTTTTTTTAATTCTGCTGTGTGCAACCCTCTGCCATATGGGGGAATCTGACTTCAGCTCTTTGTGGTCCCTGTTTCTCAGCCTTTTGATCTAGTAGTGAATGACTGGGCAAACTTTTTGGGCCGAGGGCCACATCTGGGTGGGGAAATTGTATGCAGGGCTGGGGCAGGAGGTTGGGGTGCAGGAGGGAGTGCTGGGTGTGGGAGAGGGTGCGGGGTGTAGGAAGGGGCTCAGGGCAAGGGATTGGGGCAGAGGAGGGGTGCAGGGTGTATGAGGGGGCTCAGGGAAGGGGGTTGGGGTGCAGAAGGAGGCTCAGGGCAGGGGTGCAGGATGCAGCAAGGGACTCAGGGAAGGGGGTTGGGGTGCAGGAGGGGTGGGGGTGTGTGGCAGAGGGCTCAGGGTTGGGGTGCACAGGGGTGCAGGATGCAGCAGGGAGATCAAGGCTGGGGGTTGGGGTGCAGGGGGTGCGGGATGTACAAGGGGGCTCAGGACAGGGAGTTGGGGTGCAGGCAGGGGGCTTAGGGCAGGGAGTTGGGGGGCAGGGGGCAGGAGGAGTTTGAGCTCCGGCCCGGCGCCGCTTACCTAAAGCAGCTCCGGGGTGGCAGCAGCGTACACCTGGGCCAGGGCAGGCTCCCTGCCTGCCTGCCCTGTCCCCGGCCCCGTGTCGCTCCAGGAAGTGCTGCGGCCCCTGAGGGATAAGGGGAGGAGGGCTCCGCATGCGCTGCTCTTGCCGCGGCTCCAGGTACCTCCCCCGAAGCTCCCATTGGCCAGGGTTTCCCCATTCCCGGCCAATGGGAGCTGCAGGGGGCAGTGCCTGAAGGCAAGAGCAATGCACGTGGAGCCCTCTGCCCCCCCGCCCGAGGGCCGCTTCTGAGACGGCACGGGGCCCGTGGTGCCACGGGGGGCAATCCCGCGGGCCAGATCCAAAGCCCTGAGGGGCCGGATCTGGCCTGCGGGCCGTAGTTTGCCCACCCCTGGACTAGAGTCTCTCTAGTGACTATGTCTGGAGATTGAGTTGACAATATTGACTCTGCCTGAAGAGATCCAAATCTACTAAATGGAGAGTCAATGAGATATGGGAAAATTGATACTTTTGATTTAACCAATATTCTATTCTATGTTTGTCATTTAAACAGAGCATAGTGATGCCAATGCACAAATGGGCTGAAGAGACAATCTTTTTTTAACTTACCATAAGTTGTCTTACACATTAAGGCCTGGAGAAAAATAATGTTTTGGCCTTACATAGTTTTGCTCTGTGTGTCTCCATTGCCCTGCACTTTAAGCAGGTGAATCCTTCCTTCCACTCCAATCTCCACATAGGGGTAGAAGGCTCAAATCCAATCACAAAGATGTGGACCCATTTTACAGAAGGGAGGACAAATTTGGGGAGCCCACACAATAGTTTTCACCATTTGTGTAGCACAGTTCCATCCATCTTAGTACACGTGGGGGCTTTGGAGTATGCAGATCCACTAGCTCACCTGACTCCCTGGGGTGGGAGGTTCTTAGCAACTGCAGTAATGTCAAGGAAGCAGCACCACTGCTGCTTTGTGACTTGGGGGAAGAGTATTCCATGTCCCCAGCCTGTGAACCTGTTTACTAGGGATTTGTACTGAGTCCAGAATTTGGCCCAAAAAGAATATGAAAGCACATTTTAAAACCCTAACCCAACCTCTTGTCTATCGAGCCCGCTTTGTCGTGGTTTTCATTCTGCTTTTGTCTTAATTGCATGTGACTGAAATTAAACATATACAGTAAGTTCTTAGAAAAAATGGAGACGTTATGTAATGGTGCTGTGAAGCCATTTTTGTGCCTTTTTTAAACTAGTGGATCAGGAAAAGCAGTTGATCTGTTTGCAGATGATTTTGTTATTTCAGTCATATGTTTTCCTGTTCACATGGGCTGAGAACGTGTGTGTGTGTGTGTGTGTGTGTGTGTGTGTGTGTGTGTGTGAGAGAGAGAGAGAACAGTCGCCAAGTGTAAAATACATTTTTTCCTTTTACTAGACATTGATTTCCCCCCCTTGTGTTTTGAGTGAACTGAAATTGGAATTCCCATCCATAACAATGCTCTTTGTAATGTGGTGCTATAACTTCCCTTGTGGAATAGGTGTTAAAGGGACACTGTCAACTTAATAATCACACTTCTGTCTGAAAATTTTATACCCGCTGTTATTATGATTAACTCCTAAGATTCCTGCAACTGAAAGAAACTGAAGGGAAAAACATCTAGGTTTTTTTGCTTTTCTTACTAGTGCATTTGAGGATACTCTGTGACCAGTGATTTTTTGCTACTCTAATTGGGTGAACACCCAAAATTGAAGGCACTAAAAATCCTTCTGTAAACCTTGGCCTCATTTGTCAGTCATTTTCACAGTTTCCCTTGCAAAGTCAGTCTGTCAGTTTCTTCTCTTGTTTTTGTGGGCCTTTCACACAGTAACAGGGTGAGGGAAACATTTACAAAAATAAAAAAATCTGATTGCAAAGCCACAAAAATTGGCAGGGCACTCTAGCAGGTCTGGGGCCTGAAAATGCTTTTTAAAAAATTGACTAGATTTCACGTTGATGCTCTTCCTTTAAGAGCTGGGGCAGAGTGCAAACACTGGATTCAATCCAGCAATCCGTTCCCAGGAAAAATTCCCTTTTCTTTCAAAGGGCATTTTGCCTAAGTGAGGATTGTGTAGTGAGGCCTGGTACAGGTCCAACTAAAACCATAATACTTAAAAAAAATTGGAAATAAAATGTTAAGTTTAAAATAAAATAAAATAAATATTTGAACAATTTTGTACTTGTTGCCCATTGGATTTTACCTGTGGTAGGTCCAATTTGGGATATAAACATCACATAAAAGATTGGTACATGCTTCAGCACACCTAGCTTAGGGCCTAATGGTGAAAGTGAAGTTTAATACCCATGGATGTTTGTTAGGCTTGGATGGGAAACCTCTTTCTACCACCTAGTATTCTTAAAGGAGGTAAATTTTGATTGCAGTCCAGATGCAAAGAGAGAAGAATCTTAAGCCATTTAGCTATTTGCAGTTTGTTGACTTTTATTTCTCAGGAGAAACAAAGTTTTAGCCAATAATGGCTTTTTGTTGGGTTAGCAAGAGAGAATGGCAGTTTTAATTGCTGTTTTGCACCAACTCATCCTGTCTGTGAGTCTAACATCATCCCAGAGGAAATTCCAAGAATTAAGTATATTTCCTTCTCTGTGCCACTGGAGTGCTATTTCCCAAGGCACTGCATCACTTCAGTTTTGGTGTTTTGAAATAAAGATTGTGACAAAGTTCCTCCTCTATCTTGGTGGGTCCTGCACTTATTGGCGGATTTTCTTGCCTCAGAGATTCACCATGTGGGTTGGGGGAACAGCCCAGAGACCTTCCCCTCTGGAAGAACCCACAGTCCAGGTCAATTGGGAGGTTTGGGGGGAACCCAGGCTCGCCCTCTACGCCAGGTTCCAGCCCAAGGCCCTGTGGACTGCAGCTCTCTATAGTGCCTCCTGTAACAGCTGCATGACAGCTACAACTCCCTGGGCTACTTCCCCATGGCCTCCTCCAAACACCTTCCTTATTCTCACCACAGGACCTTCCTCTTGGTATCTGATAACACTTGTGCTCCTCAATCCTCCAGCAGCATACCTTCTCACTCTCAGCTCCTTGCACCTCTTGCTCCTA